TAACACCGCGGAATTGTAGTTCATCACTTTGTCGAAGTCTTGGAACCTCATACTTTGCCACTCATCCCGAGCAAGTGGAAGTGTAATGTCTTTCTGATGATCAAACCGATCCTTCAGAGGCTTCCAGAGCTCTTTGGGATCCCTCATGTGTGCATAGTCGTATATGATACTTTCATCTAGGTGTCTCCAGAGAAAAATCACCGATTTAGCCTTCTCTTGGGCTGTTGATGTGTTGTTCTCTTTGATAGTTTCCGATAAACTTAGAGACTCTAGATGAAGTTCGATATTCATAGTCCAAGAAATATAGTTAGCACCAGTGATGCCAAGAGCCGGGAATTGGAGCTTCTCAACGTTTACCATTGAATTTCTAAAATAAAACAACAAGAATATAATTAGAAAGAGTAGTTTTATTAAATTTAGAAGATACAGGGTACATGAATAAGTAACGAGATTACAAGAAAAACTAATGCATAAAACATCAAAATAAAAATCATTGTATATTCTTCTGGAGAAAATTCTTCGACAAGTAAACAATAGAAAACAACAAGAATATAACTAATTACAAAAACTAAAAATAGATGAAGCATTTTTTCTATTAATAAAAGTAAGTGATTTTGCTTGGAGAAGATTTTAGAGAGGATTTAGTGAAGTGAAAAAATGATATATAAAAATATTTATACATAAGAAAAATACTATTTATTAACCGTTAAGTAGCCGTTTGAAAAGGTAAAAGGTTCTTCAAAAAAAAAAATATTTGTTACCGTTGTATGATAGATATTTTAAATTAATTTAATCTGCTATTCTAATAAAAACCAGTTAAATTTACTAATTGCAAAAGATTATGTATAAGCATTATAGAATCTATATTTAATTATTATAGTATAAACAAACATATATGGTTACTACATCATCTATATTAAATTGTAAATGAATAAATAATGTTGGTTAAAGTTATTTATATAGATTTATTTAATAAATTATGGCGACCATAGTCATCTATCACTAAAAGTAAATAAATTATGTAAACAAAATTATCAATTTTAAATAATAAATTATGGTGACAAAATCATCCATAACAAAAGAAGGAAATTAAATGTTTAGGCGGTTAAACCTACAATTATGGTACTTTAAACAACCATCGTAAAATTAGTAAATTAATAATAGGGCAGCTGAGCCGCACTCGGATAATAACATATTATAATTAGTAGAGTGATTGTGCTGATAAAATGTTATAAAAAATATATTATATAGTATTATACGTAATCATATAAGAATTATTGAGATAACAGATATTACCCTTGAAAAGAGAAAAGAGAAAGTTGATAAAAATGAAAAACTGAAATTTATTTTTTTGCGTGTCTAACAACTAATCAGATACATTCGTATTTATAGAGTGAATTTGAGACAAATGCTACTATAAAACCATAATGACATTGGGCTCGGACTCCATCTTCTCTTGCACACACAAGTGTTCTTCGACTTTTGTAACAATATCTAATTAATTGCAACTTTGGGAAATTGGACCTCCGCAAATTAGTATGGTATTCTTTTTCTAATTATTTTTCTAGCAACTAATTAAAACAAATCAACCACATTATCATGATACTTTTACTACATGAATGATGAACGTAAACCGGATCATTACTACATGAGTTTAGTATGTCTAGATCCATGATCAAATTCTATTATCTACTGATCCTAAATTGATTTTTTTTTTAACTACTGAAACCTTTAAATGATATAAACTTTACCTTTTTAGAAAAAATACTTTAGCATTAGTTTGGTTTTATTCCTCAAATTCATCCGTTTATAATTAAGTTAGTTATTGTTTTATTTTGGTTTCGTTTAAAGATTAGATTTATTTCTTTATTCTATAATACATCCTTTTTGGTCAACATAGTACTTTTTTGTCAACACAATAAATCATTTTTTGCCTGCAAAAACAGCTTTATTGTGTTGGCAAAAAAAAGCCTTATTTTCTAATTCATTACTATATGCTATCTTGGCTTTGCCATATTATTTCCCTAAAAAAATTTGGAAATTTCCAAACAGCACATGAAAGCTGAAAATAGCAAAGAAACAAACAGAAAGAAACTGATGGAAGAGAAAACATTTTCCGGTAAATAAGAAACAAAAGCATGAAAAAGACAAGCATATTGTGGTGGAAAAAAAAACCCGTCTTCGTTTTTATCTGATATATCTAGATAGGCAATGTTTGTAATAAAACTATATGATATATTCTTTAGTTTAGCAATAATCAATAATTTTAAAATGTTTGAAAATTTCAGTTAATAATTTTACATTATTACAAAATTTCTTGTGTTTTTAAACATTTAACATCAAATGTCTACTTTTTCAATAAATATTTTTTTTGTTATTGATATCAGTTTGATTAATATACTGTACAACCCTTGTTTAAAAAAATTCAAATATTTAACATCAATATTTGAAAAATTAAATCGAAACCCGGAGGATTTCACTGGAGCTTCATCAATTTTGTTGGAAACTGTGAACCTATAATGTGATTGCTATTCGAAGAGTTTTACATGATAAAATTGTAGACTGGAGATTACAATCCTGGAGCATGGGTTTTGACCTCATTAACTTCGAAGGGGACTGCCAGACCTTGGTTAATTTACTAAAAACTAATGATCAAGACATAAGCATAGCTAATCTACTTGATGATATTAAAAACTAGTTAACCAAGTTCCATTTTTACGATATTTCTTATGTTAAAAGAGTTTGTAATATCTAAACAAGATCCCCCAAATGGTCTATTTTATTCAGGAACTACCTATCCACCATGTTAGATAAGAATCTGATGCGGACATCAAGTCATCATTAACCATGGAGCACGGATCCAGGAGTCATGAAGTGGAGAACATGAAGCTGAGGAGAGCTAAAGAGGCATTCGAGTGGAGTTCAGCCCAAACGGAGGTTGATATCAAACATTCAAGCTCAACCAACACTTGGAGAGCATTCTCAACTCATCCATGGTTCATCACGAAGAAGAATCACCCAAAAAGGAATTCATATGAAGAAGATATTGAAGATACAAGTTGGAAGATCTTCAATGGACCCGATGGAGACATGCGAGTACTAATAAAATTATTTCGGCCAAACCCAGACGAGCCAAGCAACGTTCCAGAATGTTTTGGAAACTGGATTCATCAGAGAACCGAGAAAAATTGGTTTCATGCCAAAATTCATTATGGTTTAAAAATTATTCAACTTCTAAACCGGAGGATGCTCTGCTTGCCTTATTTGGAAGCTGGCGAGTTTAATCACTTGCAAACCAAACTTTGGCGACCAGGAGAAGCATCAAACCATTCAGGAGAGTTAATACACCAATCAGGAGAGTCAGCTATAACCGTTCCCAGCACCAGCAACCAAAGGATCAGGCGGATCCCACCATTGACCAACTTGCCTTATTTGGAGCAGATTTCATTCAAATCACAACAGCTACTTTTTAGCCAAGACATCAGCCTTTTGAATGATTCTTTGAGAAGGAAAATCGTCCACAGAAGCTAGCCTACATCCTCAAGCCATCCAGATACAAAGTCAGCAAAGAATCCCTTGATTCTAGCCAATCCCCCCATCATTCATCAAATGGGTTAAAAATCCCTTTAATCATTCCTTTTGATCTTTCTTTGATTTTTGCTTAATTCTCTCTTTAGAGTTATTGTCTAGGACGTGTACTGAGCCTATATAAGCTCATTGCTGTTTCATTTGTAAAACACCTTTTTATCTAAGAAAAAATAAAAAAAACTTTGTTCTTTTTATTCAAAGATTGTTCTTTGTTTAAAACAACTTGTCTTTAGATTCAATAGAGTGATTCTTTTGTTTCTTTTGATTATTGGAATAGATTTGTTTGTGTGATTCAGGCAAGACTAGTTCCAACGACTGAGTGAGTCAGCCATCCCACCGACTGAGCGAGTCAGTCAACCCACCGGTTGAGCGAGTCAATCACCTCAATTCCACCTATATTCCGACTTCATCCCATATTCCGCACCATAAGCTTGGAATTCTCTTAATCATCTTGTGATCATAAGTTGGAGTGATTCCAATCTTATATCAGAATCTATTTGTATCATGACTATATTAATTCTATATAAATCAAATTTTGCTGTTAAAGAAAAAAAAATTGTAATTTGGAGATTAAAAAAGAAAGCCTAAAACTGGTTGAAGATGATTGAAAATATACAACAATGAAAAAAATAATGCATCTCAATTATTTGAAATAATTCTGATTAATTTAATTGGATAATAAAAAAAACAGATATAAATTATTTAAATATATTATTGAATTTACGATTACGAAAATATATAATTTTATGGATGTTATTCGTTATTGACGAACATAATCAAAACTCATTCTCCATTTTTTTCGCTGATGTTAACAAAACCATAAAATGAAAGTAAAAATGTATTATTCGAAACAATTTATCAAAATAGAAATTAATTTCCTGACTAATATAAAAGTGTTGTAAACAAAGAATAAGAAAATATAAATGTTTGTAGGACGAGGAAATATACACGTGGCACAGTTAGTAGGATGCTCAATGAACATTGCTCATGACCATGTTTATGCACTGGTCCAGTGTCACTGGGGTAAACCAAAAAAAAGTCATGCAGACTTCAATTCAAACATGACTTCAATTCAAACATACTAAGCTTAACTAAAAGTCAAAACAATTTATTTTGGGTTAATAAAACAAAATGTACAAGACTACATTTTTTCGAGTAAAATGTATGAAACTAGAAACAAAAAAAAGTGCAAAAATATATCTAACATCTTATTCGTCATATTTTAAATGATGTTCTTTAAAAAAAAAATGTTTCATTATATCATATATTTTTTTAATGCAAATATTATCTTTATATAAATTTAATATTTTCAAATATTTAAGAGCATCACCTTTTAGAATTGATAATATATACTAAACTTACTTTACATCATTTGTAGTAAAAATATTATTAAACATTATATAGTATTTGATACACAGTTTGGTAATACCTATAAGGAAACTAGGTAAACCAAAAAAAAACATAGTCAACATGACTTCTTAAGATGGGCTAAACTTTATCTAAGCCCATTCCAAATATACGTAAACAAAGCTCTTTATAAGGCTTGCTTCACGAAAAAAAGTAAACACAAACACCAAAGATTCCAAGAATCTTTTGCACAAAATTATTATATAACTGAAGCTTCTTAAACTGATTAAAAAACCCCGCGAAAATTTACCACACATACATGATACATGATACCATGATACATACATTAATACGTATACATACTTTAGTAACTCCACAGTGACAACTCTTCATAACACATTTCTTCTTCCACGTATACACTCGTATTCATGTCAATGTACGATCTCGGCGGAGACATCAACGGCTCCTCCGCGAGCCTCATCATCATTCCAGCGATTCCCTCTGATCCCTCCTCCGACGTGGCAAGCTCGCCACCACCGGACGAGGGCAAAACAGTAATTCCGTGGCTAAACTCCGACGGTCGGAATATCTCCGCAGCTTCCGCCGCCGTACGCCTGATTGTATCCGGATCAGTGGTTTCCGGCGTCGGTAAGCGCCAAGCGGAGTCTGAGAAATTCAAGCACGCGGATCTCCCGCGCAGAGCAAGCGCCGCCACGTCGTGAGCACGCGCAGCCATCTCCGCCGTAGGATAAGTGCCGAGCCAGATTCGGCGCTGGTGAATCGGTTCTCGGACTTCACAGACCCATTTATCGCCGTCCCTCTGCCGCACCCCTCTGTAGACCGGATGACGTGTCTCCTTGAAAATCCGCCTTCCTGCACGCCTCTTCGGCCTCATCTCCGCTAGGACAATGTCGCCGTTTTCCATCTCCGATCTGGTTCCGATGAAACAGAGTACAGTATGTTTTAGTAAATAAAACAAATTAAAAGAAAAATCCCAAAATTTTGACGGTATTATAAAAAACGAACTATATATGTTAAGAAAAACTTAATATTCACACGAATTATCAAATTTGATTCTTGAAATACAACATAGTTCTAGCTTTACGTGAGTTTGAAATATAGGTGTAAACAGAGTAAAATACAAAATAAATGATTTTTAAAAAAAAAATCGTTAGATTCCAAATTAGAAATCTGTGTAAACCTGAATTTTCTTACTGGGTTCTTAAATTTATAACTGAATTCAAGCGTTACTTGAGTTTGAATCATAACTATAAAACAGAGTAAATGCAATACGACTACACCCACAACAGAGAAATCCAAAAAGTTCAAAGGATTACGAGATAGAAATCTGTTAAAAAGGTGAAATTTCAACGAATTAACTTACTGGGCTCTTTAAAATTCAAGCTTATATTTGAGTTTGAAACCTATAGTTATAAACAGAGTATGATGCAATATAACAACAACAACATTGGAAATTTGAACGAGTTCAACATAGTTGAATCTACTTCAACTAAAGCTGAAATTACCTCGAATTGTAGTAGCTTTTCCCGAAAATCTAAATGAAATGAAGATTTGTGTTTTTTGAGTGTGCTCTGTTTTTGGTGGTTGCCGTTGAAGAAGAAGAGTGAAGTGAGAAGAGGCTTTATAGGCTATGGTTTTGGGTCCTACTCAGTACGAAGCGGACGCGCGTAATACAGGTTAAAATAATTCCCTCTTTTTAGGTGCCAATGCCATGCTGGCTAAACGTCTTTATTATATACTAGCTGTTGATTGTTACAAAATCGTATCATTATTTATTTGTGTTTTATGTTTTAATCCTTTAACATTTTTTGATATGCATGTCGAAGTTTTTTTTTTTTTTTGTCATCTGAAAATTTTATTAGAACATGAAGGATACAAATGATATATTTTTGGATATCTAAGGAGGAATCCGAAATTAAACTCTATGAATCCGACACTAATTCAAAAAAGAAATCAGCAGTTAAACCGAAGAACTAATACAATATGCAAGAGAAATAAAACTTATGGGACTCCAAGCTTCATAGAATCGAAAATGCATTATGCCAATCATCGAAACTAAACTTCTTCCTACGTTATAAATAATAATAGAACAAAGGTTTCATGAACCGACAAACAAGTGCAGTGCAGCAAGTAAGAACGACATTTTGAAATCTTCTGGAAATGACAAAGTGAGAGGATATAAATATCCAAAGCCAGGTAGAGGCCTAGACAGAAACTTGAAAGAACGACCAGAGCTCCTCTAGCAATGGACAAAGGACTAGGAACGAAACCTACATTTTTCCGCAGTAAACATACCACGACAACAAGAACAAAGAAGCGCACAAAGTGAAGAAACAGCGAGCCATCAACTGCCAATAAAGAAAAATTTAATCTGCAAGATCAAAATCATAAAATGAACCCAGAAACGGACTGAACTTCTGATTAGATCGGAAAAGAGCCACTAACCGAAATCAGACAGATCTGACCCGAAAAGAGAAAGAGGCGATCCATGAAAAGATAGCGATGCATGTCCAAGTTTATTCATGTGCATTTTTTTTAATAAAAAAATATTCATGTGCATAGTTAATTTTAATTTTTTTATTACTTGAACTTCAAATTGTTTGTTATAGTCAATGTTTTGAAACCCGACTCGGATCGGCCGGTTCGCCCGGTTAAACCAGGACCCGGTCACTCATCCGGGTCGGTTCTACTTTTCAAATCCGAGATTTAATAACCCGGTAAAATCCAGAAAAACCTGCGAGTAACCCGTGACCCAGTGACCCGTTGACCCGGTTAAACCAGTAATTTCATTTTTTTAATAAAAAATCTCTTTAATATAAATAATCCCTAATTAAATTATAGGTTTTTGTTGTTTTGTGACTTTTATCGAGTTTTAAGGTTTGTAATTTGTATCAACATTGAATTTTTTTTCAACTAATTGTGTTATGTTTTGAACAATTTATGTTATATTTTTTATATTTAATAATTTTAATAGTTTATGTTATATTTTTTATATTTAAATTTATTTTTCTATTTTTAAAACTATATAATATATATATTATATAAAGTTTTATTAATTAATTAATCCGCGGTTGATCCGGATCAATCCAGATAAACCTGGAAATCCAGTGACCCGGTAACTATTCCGGTTTGCTTTCCGGATCGGGTTTCAAAATATTGGTTATAGTTACGTGAACGCATATTAATTTTTTTTCTCACTATTTACATAAAGTACACTTTTTTTTTCTGTCAACCATCGTAAAATATTCTATATTTTGTAATTATATGATTTTAAAAATAAAAACACATAATATTAAAAGTTTTATTTTGTTATTTAATTATCACTTTAGTTAAGTAATTATTGTTCTTCAAATATTACACACTACTCTAGATGAGTTAAATTACAGAAACATATATGAATAAATAACTATTGGTTTTTTTTGGGTCATTTAACAAAATGTTTTCTTCAAGAAGTATATATATATCTATGCTTACATAAAAGTTAGTAAATCATCAAAAAATATGAGACTAAATTTTGAAAAATTATGGTCAGCGCTCTTTACAACAAAATTTCTTGACATATCATACATGATACATTGCAGGTTTTGGAGGAAACATCAACAAATTTCTAGTACAGCCTGCATAAAAGTTGAAAAAATGGAATGCAACAGTAGAAGACCCCTCACTATTTTCTCTTTAGATTCTATTTAACTGATTATAGTCTACTAATTTCACTAGTGATATTCTTTTATTAATTTCCTGAAGTGATACTGTATCCTTTTATACTCTTTGACAAAAATAAAAATAAATTCCCATTTTAATTGAATAAAGAGAAATGATTTTTAGCACGTGACCTTATTAGGTGAATTTTAAACACGTGACAATTTAATCAAATTAGTTGTGGATAACACGTGGGGTTTCCGTGAGGGTTACATTTTCACTGTGTATTCATGATCATCGGCTCATCGCATTCGCTCTATAGGATTACTAATCTGTCGAATGTTTTGGAATATATTTTCTTAATCACTGTGTATTAATCTATCGAATGTTTCCTCGTTTCGGGTTTTGATTGGTTTTTCCCTTCAGCTTTTTTCTCTAAAGCTGAGTTTTCAATTTCTTGCTTCTGTTTAGCTTATATATCATTCGCTTGCTTGTAACCGCTACTATATGATGTAAAACTCATAACTTGTAACCTTTTTATTTTGTTAATTAATCAAAACCCTTTAGAAATAAAATGATTGTTAAAATTAGTTAAGTGTTCTTTGGATGTTTAAAGGTTGTTGAGGAGTGAGCAGTAGGACACAAGTAGTTTTGTAACTTTTTTACATTTTAGAGTAATACTTCGAAATACCGTGTTTCTAAAACATTTTTTTTATATAAAAATTCTTTTTTTTGGGTCTAAATGTTATATATATATATATATATATATATACAAATTCTCAAACTGATATCATGCATTTCTCAAAAAGAAATGAACATAAAGAAAACAAATACAGTTGTATATAATAGCATAGTTAATTCATTTTAGAAAGCAGACACGCATGGGTCGGGACAGTAGCCCAATAATTTGTTAGATTAAATGCTTAATACTACTGTCTAGTGAGTGTCACTTGCGCGTCTGTTTCACGCACCTTTTAGACCTTTATTCTCTAAATCGTTGTAGCTATAGATTATATGTTTACTAGGTAATAATCTGCGTCTTGCATTGAGTAAAATATCTTTTATTTAATTAATATAATTTTTTTAATATTATATAATATATTTAATTTTAATTTTGGTTTTATATAATATAATTGTAAAATATATTAATAATATAATAAAGTTTTTTTGTTTATATTAATATAAAACTGACGTAACACCCAATCAATATACATTGTTTTAGTCTAATTGGTTTAAATATAGATTTGAATGATATAAAAAAAGATAGATATAAATAACTTAATTTGTGAAAAAATACAAAATTAATGTTTTCAAAATAATTTAAAACTAACAATAGTCGAAAATATAAAAGAATTATGCTAATAATATCAAAACATCGATATTCAAAGCTATGTAAATGCTATCAAAAAGTGTTGACCGGAAAGGTGTTTATTTATGAAATATGTATTAGTAATATGTAATGGACCAATGTATTAGTTAAATTTGAAGTAGTTACTGATTAATATAATTATAATAAACAATTATTTTATCTCTTTAGATTATTTTAGGATAAATAAATAAGAATTATAATGGCTAACAAAAAAAAAGGATTACAAACTAAAGAGGAAATAGAGAATAACATAAGTTGCAATCGAACGTTCACCTCCACATTGGTTGCACATGAATAAACAAATAATCACATTGTATATGATTTGAATCTTAGATTTTATTTTTTTATTGTATGATGAATATTAAGGTTAATCAAATGAAATATAGTTTGAAGTTGTAATAATATAATGTACTTAAACTATATACGTAGGTAGTAACTAAAGAGAAGAACATATTTCAAAACAATATGTAAAGAGACCGAAGATTAAGAAATAGAGGCTTCATTAGAATTTTACAGAAACAAATAATAAAACATAAAGGACACAAATTATTAAAAAAAAAGAACTAAAACACAAAATTCAAACCCAGAAAACGATTGAAGCCTCTACGTTATAAACCCCGTACAATCAACAAAACATACCACAACAAAATACTGAACTAAGGTTCAGAATCATTTTCAAATAATTTCTGGAAAACCTCTTTAAACACTACGTTCAATGAGAAAGTGATATTTAAGTGCATACAACACACGTCTTATATATAGTTGGGAGATAATTAAAATCATGATATATGTGATATAAGTATTTACGGCACATGAAATATTTTTAATATAAGACATTAAAAACAAAATAATTCAATTATGGATATGAAATTAATATTTAAGATACTAATTAGTTATATTAAAGTTTTCCTAACTATCACATGAGCAATCAAATATGTTATTTCTTAAATAGTAATTAGTAGTATCTTTTATATTGTAATAGTTAGGAAAGACGTATTAACTCTAATAATCATAGCTTGAGAAAGACATATTAACATCAATAACGTTATTAATCAACTATTAATTTTGGCAATTAATCATTTAATACATATATATAGAGTACTCGGTCGATATATGGATCCCCTTTTAATTTATTGGTTCATATATATTGATGCATTAATAATTTAAAGTTAATGCATAAATAATCAAAAGTTAATGCATGAATAATGCATGCCTATGTTAAATGCATGCGATTTATTATAAACCTCTATTTTTAACTTTAAACAATGTCAAAAAATTTAAACGATTTATTTTAAACCTCTTAAGTTAAGATTTAACAATCAAAATACAAAATTAGTATAACCTATTAATAAAACTGTTGGATACAAATAGAAAAGATACTGATAATTTGAGTGCATTTAGGTTATAATAATTTGTATGGTTACTTGATCTTACATGAAATGATCAATTTAAACAACTGCTTAATAGTAAAAAAAATTATAATGTATTCAACTTTTAAAATATTTGTATGGCTTATTTATTGCATTTTTTGGAAAATTGACGGACTTTTATACTAATTTTTTTTAATATGATTAATGTATAATATTTTAATATTTCTCTCAGAACTATAACAGTCAGAACTATAACAGTTGAATACATTATAAAAATTGCATTATATTATAATGGTAAATAGAATTGTATGGTTCATAATATATCGATGGATAAATTTAAGTAGATATGTAGGTTTAGTTTTTTAAACATAAACTAATATCCATAAATAATATATTGATGAATAGTTTATAAAAGTATAATATATGTTTGGTTATAACAATGCATAATGACATATCATGTAAATATTCTAGTAACATAAGTCTTTTTTTATAAAAATTCTGAAAAGCTATATGGTGGTGACATATCAGCAAAATGACACCATTGTAATATTCTACAAATTTAAGGTTTCTCTTTAAAAATGCTTCTCTTTTAATATATAGGAGATTACTTGTATAAATTTACAAAATATAGTTGCACGTCACAAGAATGCTGATAAAGATTTGTTTTGAAAATTCTTCATCTTAAGACTCATTTAGTTACGTCTTAGCTAACGTTTAAGTCATGAAACCTATATATAAAGATACTAAATTATAATTCCTATATGTTTTTCTTTTTATAAATAGTATCATATCCAAATTAAACATAGGTTTGCTCTACTGATTAAAAGTGAAGGAATCGTTATAAACATATTTATAGGTTTGAATCCAAGGATGACTATTGGGCCGACCCAATGAAATAATAGACTATTGGGCCTCAATCAAATTCTCGTAAGCCTGTGTATTTCTTTTTCCAACTCATTTCCACTCTGCAAATTTCAAAATTTGTAAACTTTTATTTTTAGTCTTCAAACAGCTAGGTTGCATGGAAACTCCGTCCGAGGTATGTTTCTCATTTCCGAAACGTTTCAAAAATCGAAACTTTCGGAAACTCGTTGGAAACACAAAAAATCACGTTTCCTAAAAATTCTAATTTGGAAACACTTTGAAAACGTGTTTCCATTTTAGAAACACATGTTTCCATTTTGGAAAGAAAATAAAAATTAATTTCTTATTTTTATAGAACAAATAAATAATTATAAAAATTAAATTAAATAATCAATTTACTTATTTATAGTAAATAATAAATATTTTGATTTGGTAATTAAGATTAATTTTGAGATTACTAAGTTTGAAAATTATTCTCTAGATGAATTAGAATTAGAGATAGATTGGTTAATGAAACTAATAAAATTGATAATAAAAAATTTTTTCTAAATTTTTGATTTTACATATTTTAAATTTTATAGTTTAATAATTATGTAAAAATTATATATTAGATTTTGTTGATTAAATATTCTACTTATAATTAGATCTTTAATACTTAATATATATATATATATACACGTTTCTAAAACGTTTCTATTTCTATATTTTTTTAAAATAGCATTTTTGCGTTTCGAAACGTTTCGCTTCTACGTACTCGTTTCCGTTTCCGTGCAACATAGTCAAACAGACAACTTCAAATAGACAAAATCTGTATGTATAATCTCGTTTAATTAATCGCAATTTTCAAGTATAAAATATGAACTACATGCTTAAATTTTTAAATCGGAAGCTTATTTCTTAAACTAATTTGAATAGGAAAATGTACAAAAGTTAATTACATCTAAAAACGAGTAGATTTTATTATTGTTTTATTACAGCTGAAAATAAGCCCACCAAACACAAACACAAACAAAACACACTTTTAAGGAAACCCCACGCAATACCCACGCACTTTCATCTCATATTTAAAAAACCTTAATTTGTTTCACTAAAACCCTGATTCATTTCTATCCATATTTCTTTCTCTGTCTATATATTATATATAAGAAAATTATTAATATGGCTGACCCTAAGAATCCTATCACTGAACCTAAAGCTATAAGCCAAGCTTCTTCTTCATCGTCAGTTACTATTGTGCCAGCTCGCACGTGCGGTGACAGTCTCTCTGGCTCTGCCACGTGTGAAAATTCTTGTCCACTTGCTACTATCACTACTACTACTGTTTCTTTTGCGGCTGCTTCTTCTACTACAAGTGGTAAAGGCAATGATACATTAATGGCCACTGCCGCCAACACCATCTCTCGCCGGAAAAATCATCCAGTTTACCGGGGAATCCGTTGCCGGAGCGGAAAATGGGTCTCTGAGATCCGAGAGCCTAAGAAGACGACACGTGTCTGGCTCGGTACTTATCCGACGCCGGAGATGGCTGCTGCCGCCTACGATGTGGCGGCTCTAGCGCTTAAAGGCGGGGAAACCGCTTTGAACTTCCCGGATTCCGTCGGGTCTTACCCTCTACCGGTTTCCTCCTCCGCAGCTCATATCCGAATCGCTGCGGCTACGGCGGCTGCTACGGTTGGGGCTGCGGCTGCGGCTGCCAATGCGGCTGTGAAGGAAGGTGGAAAGAAGGAAGAGAAAGCAGTTTGCGATGTGGTGGGATCGTCAACTATGGAGTTTGTGGATGAAGAAGAGCTATTGAACATGCCGGGTTTGCTAGCGGATATGGCGAAGGGGATGATGGTGGCTCCGCCGTGGATGGGATCTCCTCCGTCGGATGATTCGCCGGAGAATTCCGACGGAGAGAGCTTGTGGAGCTATTGATTGATTGATTGAAATCTGTCTAATTTTGTGTGTTGGATCATGGATGCTTTGTTTACTTTTATGCGAAATCATCTTCATTTCTTTATCCTAGATGATGATGATCACTTGTTTGAGATGATTTGTTGAATTTAGATCGTATGTTTTCCACTTTTCAAATCTTTCATAACAATTTTAGTCACATTTTGTTTTTTTGGGAGTGTTCTTGAATTAGGGCTCTGAGGCGTTCTTGAATCTTGGGATTAGGGTTTAAGTAATTTTTCCTCTTTTGAGTTCATCTTACCTTTGATTATATCGAACACCTTCATGAATGGATTTTTAATTTTGTTAATCACGATTAAAATATTAGATTAAAACTTCCCAATGTATTTGCTTGTTAATTCCTAGAAATTCAGAGATATCCATAGATGGATCAAGGTAATTAATTTGTCTTCTATATCATATATACAAAGAAAGGAGGAACCAAAGTGTCTTGGAATCAAGTTTGTTTGCCGCAATGGTCACTGGTCTTGCACTGAGAAATTTTTGGATTTGGAACAAAACGCTGAACCTTGGACTCATCTGTGTTGGGTATATATATTCTACATATTTTTCTGGTAAACTCTATGATCCGAAGATATAAGTTTGTAGTATATTGGTTTGAAATTGATGTTTTCTCTGCTGTGTTGTGGACTATATGCAAATCTAGTAGCTAGGGTGTACGTATGTATACATTACTGACAACGAATCTGTAGTCCACAAAATATAATTATTTTAAATCTTAAATAGCAATATGTATGTATGTGTATTTATGAGTTGAATCATACTTATAGTACCATGCATTATCTATAAATTGATAAAAAAAAAAGCAGAAATTAAAGGCGAGAGCGTATACATTTATAGATAATAATCAGGTTAATTATCGTATCTGACGCTAAACTAGTGGCTTGATATCAATAAAAAAAAATCAATGGAGAAATTACTCTGATGCTGGCATGTTTTTTTTTGAAATCTATATCCTTGTCAAAGCAACATGGCATGTTTTCTTAATTTCACCAAAGAGAGAGACAAGGAGGTTAAATTAAGTAAGTAGAGGATATGGCAGCACTTTCCTTTGATCATGTCTATCACTAGTTAAGCTTTCAATTAGCACAAGATATATATTAATATAACTTGTTTTTAGGGTTTTAAGAATTGGTAAAGGTAAAGGGGTCAATGGTCTGTTTATAATGGTTCAAAGATTAAATAAAAATTATTATAGTGATGTGTCTTCTTCTCATTAGCTTAGTTATATAAAAAATTACGATAAATATGGGCTTGTCTCATCTGATTTAACATTTGTACTGTGTTTTACATTGTGTGGCTATGATTTATACAATGGCACGTGTTGATATGTCATTGGACTTACACTATTTCTTTCACTAATTATATTCCCTAATTACTTTGCTATTTTGCTCTGATGGTGGTGAAGATGGAGTGATTATAAGAAATGTATAACTTAGCTAGTGAAGACGAATTACTTCATTACTTGATTGATATTTTGTATGATTTTTAAGTGAACAAAGGTACGACGACTCTTTATATAAATGATTTAGTTACTCTCATTTTCTATTTTCATTCACAAACATAAACTAATAAAGGTGTATGGTAATATATATATATATATATATATATATTAATTTCTTGGATTATATTGGGTAAGTTTTCCAGTTTTGTTTTTTTTTTTTTGACGGTTAAGTTTTCCGGTTTTGATTGCAAACAAAGTATATTTAAATAGAAAATCATCACCAAAAAGAAAGATTATATATATATATATATATTATTTATTTTTGGCTAGTCCACATTTGAACCGACCATTTGAGGGAGATGTTTAAACTGCCAAAAGACTGAATTAAGAAGAATAGCTTTGTATCAAATGGGCTAATTGCAGAGAACTCAGAATTAATTACCTTTCTTAATAATTTAGTGATATGATTAGAATACTGAAATAATTGCATTTACCTGTTCATAAAATTTTCGATAAATCTAAATGCCACTTTTGCGATATACAAATCTGTAACGATATTATATAAAACATTCTAAAGTAATGATTTGAATATACCTCAGTTGGAATGTTCAAACACACAAAACTGCTGCCTATAAATTGATCAGGGTCGGGTATATAACTGATTATATAAGCAGGCGAGCATCTATAATATTCATAATGTTCAAATAACATTTAGAAAATAAGAAAATTGTTGCCATAAATTGATCATGCTATCCAATATATAATTTGTCCGCTTAGGAAAAAAATGTGCTGCTAATTGCTGAACTCGTGTTTTGGACATTGTTATAATTTACCTAGACGTATATTTTACAACTTAGCTTACATATTAATTTGAGAATTTCAGTTCTATATAGGTTCTCAATATTGAAACGGAAGATAGTTTCGAAGACTACATTAACCGTTGACCGATCTAAAGGCGGTTGGTTTGAGAGACTACTTGTAACTGACAATTTAAGTCAGTACACAACACAAACTAAAGAAGTTAATAAAAAACAAAAAAAAAACTTAATATGATAAAAAAACAAAAAAAAATGTACAGTTGCAGAGAGGAACAAGACATGACTATTATAGTATTATTGTTCAGAAGATTACAAAGGAAAATTGATATAGATTTTATGCATTTTTGTGTATAGTATTTTTTATTATCACAGAGAGGAGACAGCACATATCTTTCTCAATATTTGCTGGGGACCATTCACTGTAACTTTGCTCAGACTCTCTAGTAGAGGCCGAAAACATATTTTTGTATGACTTTTTTTTTTTTTTTTTTAACATTGAAAATCTACGTGACTGTGTTGAATCTAAATGATGAGTGACTTTTTTTTTTGGTCGAGCACGAGAGACAAAAATCTCTCTAAATTTATTAAAGAAAAACTCTTCTACATCCGAACAGCTCGTGTTCTCACAGACCCATTCATATCATCCAACAACAATTGACCAATACTCTCCGGATCAAACTCAAAATAATGAAAGCCTAAGGGAAATGTAAAAGCGAAATTAGCCAAACCATCTGCCAAGCGGTTGGCTTCTCGGTAAACATGTGAGATCCGGACGAGCCAATCTCTTGATATGAAGCCATAACAAAGTTTTGCTAGGAACGACAGCGGGTGATACTCGCTTATCCCGGTCGTCAAGAATCTCACTAAATGATGAGTGACTTAGTGGTAACACCTAATGTTAAGAGTATCAACTAATCCGTTAATGTAAACACTAAACACCATCGCATTATCTATGAACTTTTTGCTGTTATGTTTGATGAGGTAAATTATTTTGAATATTTAGTTGAATCAGATGACTGTAACTGTATATAGCTGACCATAAACGATTAAAAAAAAAATTTGTTGTTATAGGCAGATATATATACGTTGTAATTTATGTACGAAATTGTTATTAGAGTCTATATAGTTTTATTTTTGTTGATTCATTTGTTGAATGTGAATATATTATTGTTGAAGTCGACATAAAAAGGTGACAAGTTAGTAACGAGTTTTATTTGTTTCCGTACTTCCCAAAATTCCAAGAAGTCATATTCATATAGCAGCAGGCTTAAAGCTGTCTCTCTTTTACATAGAAAAGAAATGATTACATCAAATCTGTGCATAATACACTGAATCTGGTATCGAGTATATTTTACAAGGTAACCCTCGATATATGATTTTCTGCTTTGCTATTTATGAAGTAATTATTCAGAACTTTAAATTCTACTTTATTTTTCTTAATTACGTCTTACATTACACGAAAGAAAAACCTTCAGATTTTTTTAACGGGTTCCGTCGAATAGCCGAGAATCTATTTGAACGAGCAGAAAACATTGAATATATTCTTTTGTCAAACAAAAAAAAAAGTCATCTGATATATAAGTATGATTTTCAGTTGTTATGATTTTGTTGACTAAAGTAAAAAAGTGGTGAATATGGCCGACACGGTCTTTATTTAATTAGTTGCTTTTTCATTCTTTGCTAAATACTCTTTTTGGGTTTTCTGGTTAATATATAACTGAAAAATAAACTGTACAAACAGGAAACAGAGTTTTTACAGAGCATGATTGTAAAGGAAAGCTTAAAACAAGGTCACAAAGGTCGTCGCTGGTCCCGATTCACCTTGATGAAATTGTATTCTAACGTTGTGTTAACTGACCATAGAATCAATATTACTTGATAAATTGAATTTAACTTTTGTTACAATAATTTAGTTAAGTGATTTACTTTTTACTACACAATATATATATGTACTATATAAAAAGTAAGCTCCCGAGTCCCGACCATAATAGATTTGATGTGACTTGGCTATATATGTATCCACTCATCGTCTCGCTAAAGTTTCTTAATCATAACATTTCTCTTTCTGGCATATCTACAACCATATTTAATTCCTTAATGCCTGTTTATTACCCTAATCTCTCTTTTTGGGATTTAGCTTTTCCTATATTATGTCTCTAAATGTAGTCTTAAGATGATAATATTTTTAATTTTTCATGAAATGTCTACATCGATCCTCTTTTATTGACTTTGTATAAAGTATTAAACAAATAGCAAGATATGTTGTTGGAAGAAGATCCGCCGGATCCTAGGATAGGAACAACTACCTATTCGGATCTGTTTGAAAATTACAGTATATTAAATCACAAAATAAAACAAAATGTCATATAGAGTTTCAGATTTTATTTTCACACACATATATATATATATTTAATATTTTAGAATATTTTGTCATGAGAGAGTATTCTTGAAAGTAAAAACTACAACTACTTCACTTTTTTTTTTCTACATAGTGTTTGACATTAGTTAAAAACAAATAATAATCTTGTTACCGTATTGAAATTAAATCCTGTTTCCTATTCAATTTCAGTTTTTTCCCTTTTTTTTTTTTTTGAGTTGTTTTTCCACTAATTTTATTTTAGATATATAAGAGAAACCAAACCATTATTTCATCCTTTTTACTATTTTGGATCCATTACAAATCGATGAATATTCTAAAC